GAGGTAGTTTACAATCATTTAAAGCCCCGTGCCATCGAAGCACTAGGCTCTGACATATTGTACTGCAAGTCTCTAAATAACTAACCACTAATACTTTTTAGCCTACAAAGAAGTTTTTCCTACTACACTAAACACATTAAATGCACTTTGGACATAATGATGATTCAAATCATATTATCTCTCAGATTTATTAGCATTATACCCATTATATGTAGCTACTTCTACAAAAAAAAATAATACTACAAATTTTGATGTTTACATCAATGGAACGATTCAAGATTAATTATGTAGTCGCCTTTACATCCCTTTGATTCATTTTTTTTTCTTATCTGTGAAGATGATTTGAATCATATATATATGAATAAGATCTTATCTGTCTTTCTGTTACCATGCTTGGAAGGAATATGCTGAAAAGTTTTTATGTTCTAATATTGCTTGTTTGCATTAATTGAGTTTGTAAGGTACTAAACTTGTAAAAATCTTCTGTTAAGCATAAGGTTGCCATTAATAATGAAATATCCACTATATGCTTCAATCATTCAATCAAAACGTTATTGTGGTACTATATTTAATATTAAGTATACTATATATATAAAGAAGTAATAATTGCAACATATTGCTATTTTTGCAATAATCAGTATAATTACATTCTCCATTAAAAATTATATAAATTGTTTCCTTCCAAATTTTTGAGAGAAAGACAGACAAAATCTATAGAAGTTTCACTTAATATTACTCTATTAAATCACAAATACATGTATTATACACTTACCGGAGTATCTCTTTGTACAGAATGTTATTCCTTAATTATACATTTGAGGTAGATATGTTAGGGAAAATTTTTCATTGCGAATCCACTCGGTGAAGTTATATTTTCTGCATCCTTTTACTTCACAAAAATTCACTCCCTTTCAAAATACTCGCATCCTGCATTATGCTAACAATTTATTTCTGATAGAATATCACATTTTCGTTAGCAACATTAGCGACATTAAAAATTACCATTTTTTTTAATAAACCATTAAGAATACTTTTAAAAATAAAGTCAACATCTAATATTTTTCTTTTACGAGGCTAATACAACATGCCCACTCCAACAAAAATAAACTAAAAATGACTGACACTTCTATATATAGGCCCTTCTATTAAATTCATGACAAAAAAACAAGATTATTACATTTTTGTTTTTCTCCTGAGCACTAATAGGACACTTTGAATTGGGTTTCGCTGTCAACATATTAACTTCCGAAAGACAACTGTCAAGTCTGAACCAAACACTCGCATTTATAACAAAATTTATGTAGGAAAAAAAATGACCACAACCCCCCCCACCAAAAAAAAAAAAAAAAAACAAAAACAAAGCTGAAATTTTAACAACTAGTTGCGGGTGTCACATTTAAATTTGTAGGCAAAAGATTAAAAATTGGATCAAAGTGAAAAAAAAAAAAAAATTTAAATTGATAAATCTAGTAAAACAAAACGTTTCTTTGAAACATGATTATTGATACAAAATGCAAAAAGGTAACAATTCATTTACAGTACATACAAACAAACATAGAAGCTATAGGTGATACCAATCATGAGGAAAAAATATGAGTTAGACACATTGCTAGACGTACCCACAAATGCTTAGTATTTTAAGAGGTCTGAAATAAAAGCAATCAAAAAAACCCACTCCTTTTACCCAACTTACTCCTAAAAACATACCCAATAATAATTCACATTTACAACACCACCAGAATTATAAGAAAACTATTTTACTTGACTATTGAAACTCAAACATACAATAAGCTGACTGTAAAGATAAAAACAATCAATATTTACAATTAATTAACTAGGTTAGAAATAATTAGCCAGGGAATTACCCAGCATGCTGAACAAAAGCAAATGCACTGAAAATTGTACAAAAAAAGCAGACGAAAAAATCTCAAAATAATAAATTAGTGCTACTTGTATTAACGTCCAGAAAATATTATTTAAAAAAAAATAATATAACACTACATTGTTTTTTAAAATCAAATTGAGTGGTAGATATGAGGTAAACTGCAAAAATACCTTCAGCAGATGAATGCTATTAAGATATGTTAAAAAAAATATATTACATAATTTTTATTATATCAGATCTTGGCACTTATAATATATATTTTCCACCCCCCCCCCCCACAAAAAAAATTATAATTTTACCCCTGTGGTTCTTACCCACATATTAACCAGTCCCTGAAAAGGATACTATGTATATAATTATATTTTTTTCAATAGAAATTTTTGTAATATTTTTCCAGATCAATCTTATTATTACAATGCTTCCATTTATTATGAGATATTTGATGTTGATTTGACCATATATTGTTTGTTAATAATGAGGCATCACTGCAGCTGTAATCTCTGACGAATTATTTGGCAATAATAACTATGAGCATTACGAGAAATGTGTAAGCTATGAGGCGTTAATATTCAAATACATGAATATTGAATGTAATATCTACTACTTCATGTAGATGATTACAAGAGGAATATGCGAATAAACGGTGTGCGGCACACGTACAACCCAACATTGGGCATTGCCATTGAGTTGTATAGAGCCTGTTGCCTTAATATGCCTCATAATTCATAGAACATTGTTTAGAATTAACTGTCCAAAATGACTATCACATAGGAAATAATAAAAGTAGGAGCCATCAGTCTATAGCATAAAATACAAATGAAATGAGTACAGTGAGACCTTCTTTAGACTAATGTCTCAATACATTTTCTTGTCTAAAGAATGTGCTACAAAACACTCTACTCATTTCATTTGTATTTTAAAACATAGGAGGTAGAATGAAATTATTTCAATATGAATTTCTTCATATAAAAAAATTAGAATAAAGAAATAGGCCTAATACAGTAAATAAACTGTTGTTTACCAATTATGTTTTATAAATATTTCAGGAGAATTAAAATCAAATATATTTAAATGATTTTCAGTTAACTGAATGTAATTTGGCAAGTGGCATGTGATGAGAGCTGTGGGAACACATCACACTTTCATGTGAAAATAGAGGGCTGAGTGATTTCCAAATATGCTCATTTTAAAATCATTACAATTAGTCAATAACAACTTATAAAAAATCTCAACATACAAAAACATCAACATAAACTTGAAATGAAGTGCTTTAAAAGTACCAATATTAGTTTCACTTTACCATTGCAAACATAATTTTATATATAAAATGTCAAATATTCCCTAGATTACTTTTACCGTTCTGTGCTGGCTTATGT